ACACACACACACACACACACACACACACACACACCGCCGTAGGCTGCAGCTGACTGTCCTGCTGTATAAACTGTCCAAACACGCCTGCTGCTGCTGCGATGACTCACGAGCTGCTGAATACACCAGGTGTGTGTGTGTGTGTGTGTGTGTGTGTGTGTGTGTGTGTGTGTGTGTGTGTGTGTTTCGATGAATGAGCGACCTCCTCGCTGAATCATCTCCCTCCTCCACTCGCTCTAATCTGCTCCCATCGACACAGAGAATCCCTTCTGCTGCTTCTCCAGTCCTTCATTCAAACGTCGGCACAAACGACGTCCAACATTCATCACCAGAAAACCTTCGTGCAGGTCAGCTGCTGTGTTCCACCGGCCGCGTCTAACAGAGTCTGATCAACCATCGATGATGTTTTAGTTCATAAAATCTAATCAGGGAAACAGAGAGCAGCCAAGAAAAGACACAACATGAGTCATAAAATAGCTAAAAACACGAGCGAACCAACCCCAGAGGGACCAAATATGATCAGGAAGATGTTCAACGGCTGCAAAGATAAGATGAGATGAGCCTTCATTAAGCCCACAGATGGGAAATTAGCAAAGAGTCGCAAAATGGAAAGAAGACGACAATAAACACAAAATGAGTAAAAAGATCAAAAAGGGATGCAAAATAGCTCCAAAGACGTTTAAAGCAAACACTAACGGATGCAAAACGGCTTTTAAAAAAAGACACAAATTAACCACAAAGAGATGCTGAATAAGAATAAAGAAAACAAAGCAGACGGCAAGGAGGCATGAAATGGCTAAAAATACGATCAAAATGCACCACAAAGGGATGCAAAATGACAAAAACACAAAAACAAAACAGAACAGCTAAAGGGAGATGAGGAACAACCACAAAGGGATGAAGAACAACCTCAAAGATACCCAAAAAATCCTCAGAAGGGCACAAAATAATACAAAACGACCACAAACTGACCCTGAAGGGATGCAAAATAGCTCCAAACCCTGGCAAACCAGCTACAGAGGGGATGCACAATGACCACAGGGATGTGAAGCAGCAAAAAAGATGCACACAAAGTGACACAAAACGACTCTAAAGGTACGTAAAATGACTTAAATGTCATTCAAAAGGACTGAAAAGATAAAGAGATGCAAAATAGCAACAATGGAAAAGGCGAGCACGAGGACACAAAATATTAAAGAAGACCCACAAAGCAACAACAAAGGGATTCAAAATGACTAAAAAAAGATGTAGATGAAAACCAAAGGGAGAGTAAACATTTAAACAAACTGTAAAATGTCCAAAGGAGACAAAAACACATGATGCAAAATAACTGGAAAGACTAAATCGACCACAACGGGATGCAAAATAACTGGAAAGAGATGGAAGACAAGCACGAGAGGATGACAAACAACCTCAAAGAAATCCAACATATCCTCAGAAGGACACAAAATGATGCACAACAACCACAAAGGAAAGCCAGATCACCGTGAAGGGACGCAAAATGGCTCCAAGGAAAAACAAACACAAGGAGACATGCAGTGACCCTGAGGATGTAAAAATAACACATTAAGACTAAAAAGTGATGCCAGTTAAAACAAAGTCGTGTCAAATAACTTTATAGAAACACAAAATGAGACAAAACAAACCACAGAGGGACACAAAACAAACACAGTTGAGTTTTTTTTTTACACAAATTGATGCTAAACAACCAGAATGAAACGCAAAACGACACAAAATGAGCACAATGTGGTGCAAAAACAACAGAAAAATACACAATGAAACACAAAAGGATGCAAAATGGCTGAAGTCCTTTGAGCTATTTTGCATCCGTTTGTAATGATTTTACAATTTGTGTTGTTGTGTTTGTCTTTTTCAGCCATTTGCATCCCTTTGTGGTTGTTTTTCATGTTATGAACATTATCTTATTTCTATTTTGAGCTGTTTTGCATCTTTTAACATTAGCTAATTCGTCTTTTTAGCTATTTTGCATCCCCTTGTTGTCATCTTCTATCACAAACCTGTCCTGTCTCGTTTCCTGAGTCATTTTTTTTTGGTCTATTTTAGCGACTCTTTAGTTGTTTTGCATCCTTTCAGTTACTTAACTTGTCTTTTTAGTTGTTTTTCATCCCTCTGGAGCCATTTTGCATCCGTTCATGACCATTTTTCAGACCTTTGATCGTCCTGATGAAGTTATTGTTATCTTGAGTTTCAAACTAATCGTCTTCAGACGCTGCAAACAGCTGAACAGTATTGTAGGGACTAACTATGAGTCTGTTTGTTTACTTATTTAATGAGTTAACGAGCAGGTCTTGGAGCTTCACTCAGTGTTGCTGGTCATTAATTATTGCCAGAACACTAATTAAACTTCAGGAGACGATAAAAGTGTTTTTATATGACTAGTTTCTGTCAGCTTCATGAAATAACCTGTGAATGAGCTGCAGAGTGACGCTGGACTGTCTGTGCTCTTATTGGTTATTTTATCGTTTGTATCACATAAATATAGTAAACTTAGATGTTGGTTGAAGTATTTCTAACCTTTAATGCTGTATTTATATATTTCTGTGTGTTTATTGGATCATGTGTCTGGTTGTTTCCTGTTCAGTGAGAAGCAGCAGCCACAGACCTCATCGTGTGATTATGACACATCTCATGATTAAGTCCAAACCCAGAGGTCCAGAACCGGGCTGGTGGGAGCAGACAGCCGGCTACTCTTCTCTCCAGTGAGGCGGCTCAGATTGATGTGGTATCATTGAGCTGCTTTAGGAGGACATTCAGCGTTTTGGAATGGGTCGGTTCTGAACACACACATGAAGACTGTTGGACTCAGTGTGGGTCAGACTTTCTCACCACATCACAGGCTTTTTTATGCCACTGTCAGAAACGTACAAACATATCAGCTGATGGGTTCTGGTACCGGGCTGAGCAAACGCTTTTCTACCGTTTGTGTGGTTTTCTAAACTCAGTTCTGGTGCCATGAATCAGTCGGTTCTGAACACACACCGACATGAACACAGATTATTCAGTGTGAGTCACTTTTTAAGAGGACGTCATCGTCTCTGGTGTCCAGCCAGAACAAACAGAAACCGGCTCAGAAGTTAGAGAACACGATGCCAGAACCGGCCTGAGGTTCTGGGTTTTCTTCTGTATCAGAGGTCCAGGAAGCTTTGGTACGTAATAAAGAAGAACTTCTAAGTCCACGTACTTCATTTTCCTGACATCTGAACACATGTTTGTGGTCAAAGCTGTTCATGTGGTTCTGGTCAGAGGCTAAACAAAGACTTTTTGCATCATTTGTGGGTTTTAATTTATAAAAAGTCGGTTTATTTATTTATGCTATAAATCAGTCATGTTTGGACACGAAAACATGAAACACAGATTTATAGACTCAGTGGGACTCACAGATCCACAGGACGTCATTATCATGACCATCAGTTATCATCTCTGGTGATCAGCAACAACAAACGCTCAGAAACTTCCTTAAAAACAGAACAGCTCAACAGAACCTGGCTGGGAATTCTCACGTTTTAAGTTTTCCTCTTTATCAAAGTATTTCCCAGAGAGCTGTCACAGCATCCACTCACTCATCACAAAAATGGATGTTTAGTAGTTAATTCGGCGCATTTTATTCTATAAATATGAAACTCTATGACCCTCTGGTAGCCGATACTTATTATCTGGATCCTGTGATATGCAAAGTGTTTCTGAGGCTTCTCCTCACAAAGTCTTTTTTTGTTGTTGCTATAAATCAGTCAGATTTCAACATGGAAACGTGAAACACACATCTTTAAATTCCCTGTGACTCGTATTTTCACAGAACAGCATCATCTCTGGTGTCCAGCCAGAATAAAGGCTCGTTTTAAAAAAGACGCTTCAGAAGCTGCCTGGAAATTCTCTGATTTTTACGTTTTCTTCAGCATCAAAGTGTTTCACAGAAAGTTGTCACAACATCTACTGACACATAAGAGAGATTAACTCTGAGTAGGTAATTCGGCCGAGTTAGTTTTCAGAAAGGTGCTGATCTACAGCTGTAGCCCGTCACGTGCTGCAGGTGTCCTACCTGATGATGTCGTCGTTGTGGCCCAGGTAGAACCTCTGGCTGTGCTCCCTGGTGTTGTAAACGACTCCGACTCCGGCCACGAAGTAAACCACCTCCTTCCCGGCCGTGTAGTACAGGTTATTCCGGCACTGGTGGCCCCGGTACCCGTAGACCCAGTCCAGTCTGAGCCGGCAGCCCGGGGCGCTCCGGTCCGACATGGTCGCTCATCTGCCGGGACGCCGTGCCTCCCTCCGCCGCCTCCTCGGCCTCCTCTGCCGGCCGGTTCCCTCCTGCAGCTCCTGGTTCTGGTCCAAACTCCTCCAGAACAGAACAGCTTATGGACGAGCTGGTTCACCTGCTGTAGCTTCTGCGCATGTCTCAGAGGAGCTTCTGGGGTTGGTCCCACAGTCTGGTCTGAACTTTACGCATCAAGTTTTCTTCGAGCTTTCATCATGAATTTGGACTTTCTGGTGATTTTCTCACACTGGAGGCAAAAACAAACACGAACCGAGGAGCCGTGAGTCCGGCAGACGGATCAGGACCATGTCAGCTCCTGGAGCGGGTCTCAGTTTGACGGAACTCAGACTTTATGGTCCATCTGATGCTTCCAGCGTCCAGAATTCAAGTCAAGTCTTTTATTCCAGCAGCTGCTGTGGTTTTCCTCCACGAGGTGAGCCTGTCAGATGTTTGCCTTTAATTGCAGGTCTGGTGCGTGTTTAGGAGGATTTCTGGTGCCGGAGGTCCTGCTTCATGGAGCTCCTTTATGGGCTCCTGGTTCCGTGGATCAGAACACAGGAGGATGTTTTTATATTTATCGTGTGTTTTTCTTCCTCTGTGGTGATGTCCACCTACAAATCCTTTATTTTACTTCCGCAGGAGGAACCTCATCCACGGTGCGTCTGGAAAGTTCTCAGCGCGTCCGTCACTGCAGAAACCAGAACAAAACCAGCAGCCGAATCCGCATCTGATGGAGGATTCTGCTCCTGGAAAATATAATCCGTCCTCTCATTAATCCCGGAGCCGCCGCCGACTCGCGGCCGTTTGTCCGCCGCTGCCCTCCGGTGCGCTCACACCGTCAGCGTCCCCGCGCGCCGCGGCTCATTCACAAATCTGAGGGAGTGAAGACATCCAGCGGGTCCGGACGAGAAGCTGCGCGGTGCCGATGATCCACGAGCTGCGAGATGAAGCGGATTCCCGCCGTGAGATGGTCCGGAGAGCCGCGGAGCAGCGACCAAAACAAATGTTTAATCCGCGCAGATGATCCAAGTTGAGCGGGCAGAGCAGGGGAGCAGCCCCGGGCTCACACCGCAGCATCCCGGCCGGGTGACGCCGGAGCGGAGCGCTGATCCCGGGCAGGAGCGGAGCGTCGAGCCGCTGCAGCCGGAGCCCCGCCGGGCAGAGAAGCGGCCAGAGCCGTGTGCTGAGACCCGCCCGGACCGCCGAGCCTCCGCGCTGTGAGGGATGTGATGTTCGCTCGCTGCTGCTCGGACTGACAGCAGAACATCAGGAGAACATCAGCTGATCGTGAGAACGTGTTTCCGGTGGGGAGCCTTAGAAATAAGAGCCCCGGACGGTCCAGCAGCTGGTCTCCTGCCCGGTGTTTATGAACCACAGGAAGTGTTTTCTAGTCATTAAATAAGATTAATGAGACCAATGTACATGTTTAGATCAAAGGTAAAGATCATTAATGATTATATAACTTTAGCTGACAAATAGAAATATCACAGATGAGGCTCTACTATATTATTTATCACACAAAATGTAGATGATTCACCTAAATATCACAGTGGAGACCCTACAGTATTATTATCTAAAGAACTGATGTTAATATTAA